GGTTCCTATGCTCCAAGCGTTGAGTGGAGCAATGACTTATGCAGCACTGACCATGGAATGAGCCTTAGTTTTCAAGTGTATTGTAAGGCTCTGTGGCTGCAGTGGCAGTGCAAGGACCTTGATTGTGACGTTCAGGCTCCGCAGTTGAAAATCAGCGAGGTGCCGCACAAAAAATGCGCGGCAGATCCTCAATTTTGATTGGCCAACGGCCGAGGAACTCCAAAATTTTAGCCCGCATTACATAATTGTTTACTAATTTCCGGCCGGAATTAACTTTTAATTTTTTCATTACAAAAATAGAAATTTTTTAAAAATAATTCCGCATTACGGTAATATTGACCCAGCACTTAATGGGCGGCTGCGATTTCATTAGTAAAATTATGACCTAATTTTTTTATCGTTGTTTTTAGCCAATCAAAATCGAGGATCTGCCGCGCATTTATTGTGCGGCACCTAGGTTCAATAAAGAAGCTCAAGGATCATAGTAGTTTCTAACAGCGTACCTGTCCCGACCTTTCTCTTTTAACTATGTGTTAGCTGTCTTCGCTGTTTGTGAATGCAATTTAGACGTTGTCTCCTTTTCGGATAGCACAATTGGTTTGAGCCGTGAAGAGGATAGTTCGATTGCTTGTCATTTGATGGAAGACTTATATACTCGGACCTGGTCATAGAGGCTGTAAAGTTTTAGGTTTGACAAGGCCATTGGGGAGGTCTTTAGTAGAACAGATGCTTGTAAGAATTAGAGCCTACCAACGATAGCGAATATATTTTTTCAATAAAATCTCCAATCGAGCGATAATAAATCACAACCAGTGTTGGAAATCTGTTTTGAAATTTATGTTCTCATGAGAACATATTTACTTAATTTAATGTACTCAAAAATTTTTTTATGTTCTCAAATAAAAAAAAATTTTTTTCTCTCTCTCTCATTCTAGTTAAGTATTGGATCGCTTTTATCATTATTTTAGTCAATCCAAATCTGAAATATACGCTCCTGCAGAAAAGCATCCACCTTAAAAATCATGAGCTTTAGTTACCGCTATATTTACCAGGAACAGAGTGACTTATAATATCACAAGTGTATGGTTTATAGGCATTTTTAGTGCTGTATGTCCGCAAAATCTCATAATTGATTGGACAATGCATTAATCATTATAAAAATGTACTTTTTTTTTTGTCCTTCGAAATTGAACTAACCAAATATGAATTGTTGCCAATTGTCTTTCAGATAGCCTTCGGAGGTTAACGGCTTATCTGAAGCTAGTTTTAGCTGCATAATGGAGCCAAGCCGACCAAAGCAAATCAGCTGCAGCTTAAGCTAAACTTGGAGTTGCAGCTTTTAACTATGGTTCAGCATCAGCTGCAACTGAATGGCTTTTTAAAGTCATAGCTCTAGATTAAGCCATAGTTATTGAAGCAAAAACTTGTGTCATGACTAGAGCATGACTTGAGCTATGGCTTAAGCTATGGTATATAATGGTTATTGCTCAATTCCCGAAAGTTACTTCGCCGCCAACTCATTTCCTCGACACCATAATGCCGACATGCTATTTCATCTAAAGTACATTTTTTTGATAAGATATATATTCGACATTACATGTTTTCAACAATCCTTTTTTTAGACAAGACATTTCCTCAACTTCGACATAAATTTGGTTAGAATTATATGTCGGGAAATAATTGTCGGGGAAATGACTTTTCTAAGAAAAGGATTGTAGAAAATATGTAATGTCGAATATACATCTTATCGAAAAAATGTGCTTTAGATGAAATAGCATGTCGGCATTACGGTGTCGGGGAAATGAGTCGGAGGGGAAATAACTTTCGGAGTATCTATATAATACCGATACAGCATTGCATTAAATTTATTACGTAGCTGCAGTAATAATCATTTTAGAGTAGTATAAAATTTAAAGAAACCATGCAAGCATTAACAGCTCTAAAAAATCTTTAATAGGCTGAAATTGGTCTACAAAACTCTTCGTCGTATAATATCGGGGTTTCACATGACATTTCAATTAAGTATCTTCAGAAGTTTTCTTATTTAATCAATTAAGCATTATCAATCAATATATTAAATAATTTCTAGTTTAGATTTTTATTCATATTGATTTAAGGTTCTCTCATGCATAAAAATTAATAGGTCAGAGCCAATTTTAATTGGTGAAAATTGGTTTAACAATAAGTAGGTTCATTATTGCGATGAAAAAAAAAAAGGGTTATTGGCTAAAATTTATTATCCGCATTTCACGATATGAACTTCAGCAAAATTACAAGAATCGCTTCAATTAATCGTAGTACTTATTCACGAACTCGGTAGCCAGTTAGTCACATTGAGAGCATCCTTAGTCTCTAAGTTTAACGATTATTTATTGGTCTAATTGGTCTAAGTTAGTGATGGGCACCGTGCGTGATCCCGCGCGATGCGCGGGATTATTCAGGCAGTGTCATAAATCTGGCTGGATTCAGAAACATTCCGAGGTCGAGATAAAATTTTGACTCATTTCTGTAAAATTCCGAAATATGTAAAAAACCAATCCCGCGCGGGATTTTTAGAAAAACAGCCGATTGTCCATCACTAGTCTAAGTATTTAATATAAGTAATTCACTTCTTGTCTTATTATCCGCATTAGTCTGTATAATTATCATCTGCCAAGAACATTTTTAAATTATGCAGATTAGTATGACCAGATGTACGGTATGGGTGTTATTTTTAATATCTGTTCCGATGTTATGTATTATTAGGGTTAGCATTAGAAAATTATAATAATTGGTATTTTCACTCTAAACTATCTTGAAATCTTAAGAAATTTCTTGTTATAGCGTCTTATATCAATATAGTTATACTGTATTTGGTTATTTACGTATTTACCTGAACTCAAAACTATTTATAACTATTCTGTATTTGGTGCCCAAAATTTTTTAAATTAAACCTACATTCATCCGTTCCTTGTTAAACGCGACAAGTCATGCAGCTTCTTATATTAATAAAAATAGTTTTTTATAACTTTATACAATTACATAGAGAACATATTTTTAAAACCTATTGTTCTCAAAAAAATTTTTACAGAGAACATCTTAAATTTTGTAAATGTTCTCAAATTAAAAGTGATGTTTTCATGAGAATAAGATTTCCAACACTGATCATAACCCGATTATTTGGGTTTTTGAATTTACAACCGATTTTCGACCTCTATGATGCTTCTATAATTCTGTATTGCCATATTACTATATTTTATTAACTCTACTTTATAGCTGTCTTGTAAATAAAATTCAATGCCAATTGTGTATAATATACAAAAACAAACTCCCCTGAAATATAATTAAACAGTTCATCAAGCAACTCCGAAAATGCCCATAAAGATCGAAAAGAAAAAAAATCTATGACGTTATTGATTGACCAAATACAAATCGCAGACACAATCATTCTGTTTCTGTAAAACACCGTTACCGGTAAACAAATGGGTCCTTCCACAACAAATCGGGGTTTAGAGACGATCTAACCGATATTGAGATTTTTATTGGATAGTATTCACAAGTGCGCGAATAATTCATAATAAAAATTTCAGCATAGGTTGATATACTATAATTTGGTACAGTTCTATACGCAGTAATTTTACATATGCTGATTCTCTGTTCTATTTTTAGACCACTGTTAACGTTAGAATGCTTTAAATCGCTACTATCGCTACCACTATCACTAATAAAGTTAAAATTATATCAACAACGCATATCAGTATAATGTATGTGTATTCGCACTAAACTATATTACATATAAATATCTAAATTTATCTCAACAATCAAAAATTGATTAATCGTTGATATTTACAAATCAAAAAATCGTTTCTAAGCCCCGATTTGATGTGGAAGGGCCCAAATAAGTAAAACAATTCAATAACCAAAATAAGCACTCTCCTTTTAGCGGTTTAGACATTTTTCAGCAGCATGGTATTGTAATATCGATATTTGTTTTACCAAACCAAATAAAGCTTCCGTTTTACTATATTAGGATAAATATAGATATACAATGAAAAGAGTCTAAACCGCTGAAAGAGGCCTTTGCATGTAATGCAGGCCGGGATCATTATAACGTAGCCAAAATTGGCATAGTACAGCTTATTTTCGGGGCGCTTATTTTCCGAACTATATGGTAATTAATCAAATGCTGCGTAAAAAAAAACGGTATGTACTATAAATAGAAAAAATGATTAATTAGGTATTTCATTATACGTAAATCGTAAATTTAGTAAATTTGATCGGTGATTATCGTTTCATCAACCCAGTAAAAAATCCTACAAAAAAGTGCCAAAGATCTAGTGAGTAGACGTGCAAATTTGTATTATTTGTGTCTAAGAATCATATTTTTATAGTCATTTGTTACGGCATTTGTAATTGCACTTCTCTTTTTTTTTTCACATGTATTGTCATATGCCACATACCATGTGCGATGATTTTATTTAATACGTATTATTCTGAGAACACTGCACGTTTCATATACATACACGTCCAGGAATAGCAAAGATCACAGGAAATCAAAATTTAACCTCAAACCCGTGAAATGCTGTTGTAAATATGACCTTGAAAAAAAAAAAAAAGCATTCAATCAAAAGATCAAATACTTGATTAAGGTTGATAAAAGATTTATGAAACTTTTCAACAATCATGCTCATATTCAGTATTAATTAACTGTCAATTCTTCCGAGAATCTTCAATAAAATCATTTTGAAACATGCAAGTTATGCGGTATTTGGTATTTTGCAGAAATCATCGTGTCTTGCAGAATTCGTCATCATATTGCGCATGAATAGTAAATCAGAATAACAATCGCTTAACAGTATTGTATAAGAAAATTTACACAGTTATAAATAGCAAACAAATAACGAAAGCAGACAACAGAATCTGATTAATAATACGCACTAAACCAATTTTTGTTAGGTTGAGAATGCTCGAGATTTATATATAAATGCACGAATTTAACTACCCAAACTAATTATAAAAAAATGATCTTTAAATCTAAATATCCAGATATAAAACTTCCTCAGGTTGGAATTTATCAATATGTGACTAGTAATCCAAACAAAGTTCCGGACGATAAGGTTATTTACATGGACGGGATTTCTGGTAAAAATTATACTTTTGGTGAAGTTAAACATGAATCGAAAAAGCTTGCTGCTGGATTACAAGATAGACTAGGGTTTAAACGTGGAGATACTTTAGCGATATTTTCATATAATCAGGTACTCTTTAAACTTTTCATTAATTAAGTTGTTAGTTCATTCATTTGATTATATAATTATTTTTTCAAGATCGATTATCCTATTGTGGTCTTTGGGACGATTGCAGCTGGTATTATATAATTTCTTATAAATTAATAACATATGGGGTGGAGTCAATAGAAAAGGGACAAATTTTTTCTAAGTAAAAGTTTTCTTGACTTTAAACTTAAATATCTCAGCAATTATCTTATCAAATTTAATAATTGTTTTTTTATTTTAATTCTTTATAATTTCAAAATTAAAACAAAAAAATTTTGAGCAAATTTGATTAATTAGTTGTTGAGATATTTTAATTTAAAAATTAAAAAAAATTCACTAAAAACAATTTGTCCCTTTTCTATTGACTCCACCCCATATAATGGTTTCTCAATTCTAATTACTTACTGTTAAATTAATCTACAGGTGGGAAAGTAACAACAGCTAATCCAATTTACGATGCAGCTGAATTATCGCGTCAACTAATCGATTCAGGTGCATCGATTCTGATCGTGGATCCAGAGATTCTTGAAATCGCTATTGAAGCTTTAAACGATGTAAAAATTCCCACCTCCAGAGTATTGTTATTTGGTGAAAAAGAAATAAAAGGATATAAACCTTATCGTTCTATTTTAAGCGGTGATCGTGAAATTGAACCGATTAATTATACTCCTGAAGAAGCAAAATCAACAACTGCTTATTTGCTTTACAGTTCTGGAACAACCAGTGTGGGAAAAGGTATCGAACTTACTCATGCAAATATAACTGCTAATTTAACTCAATTAATGGCTGCAGATCATGCACTTGGAACACACAGCATAACTATGGGAGTTACAGTAAGCCATATAAAAGAATTTCTTTTTAAGGTGTTTTCGAGTTTAGATAATTATTTAGAATAATTTTTTCATTATTGCTTTAAAATTAGCAATGTAGCCACATTTATGGGCTGATCGTTCTTCTTCATGCGATCTTACTTCACGTTTGTTATTTTATATTTAATACTGCTTCATCATTATATTGCCAATTTAATTTATGGGTTGTACATTAATAATAGGGTGCTACTACAATCATTCATTCAAGATTCAGCTTGGATACGTTTTGTGAATCAATTCAAAAATTTAAAGTTACCCAGATTTTTGCCGTTCCACCAACTATACTTAAACTTGTCAATGATCCATTGGCACAACAATTTGACTTATCAAGTGTGAATATTATTCTATGTGGGGCAGCTCCATTAGGTGATAAACTGGAAAAAAAATTTTATGAAATGTTTAAAATACCAATTTTTCAAGCTTATGGTAAGAAATTTAATTGTTAAGTCGTTTAAATTAGCGTACTCCTTGATCCTCATACTGAACGATCTTACTAAGAACATTGATTTTTTTTCCTTTCATTATTGTGAATTATTTTCCATAATTTATATGACATGATAAAGGTCTTACTGAAGTATCCCCGGTACTAACCTATCCTGATATAACGAAAAATACAATTCCAGGTATTGTCATTAAATGGTTTTCTTAATGTATATTAAAGAGTATATTTCGTGGTTTACTAAAGCAACGATTTTTATTAGGTTCTATTGGGATTCTTATTCCAAATTTGAAAGCTAGAATATTATCGGATGATGGCCGTGGTAACTATAAAATTTTTATTCCTAATTTAAAAATCCAGAATAAATTTACCATTTTACATTTTAGAATTGGGATACAATGAACCTGGAGAATTATGGGTTCATGGTCCAAACATTATGAAGGTACGTGATATAATTATTATGCTATACTTAATTATGCCACCTGTACTAAAATATTTCATTTTATAGGGTTATCTTCATAATAAAGAAGCTACAGATGCTGTCATCGACAAAGACGGATTTTTTTGCACAGGAGATATTGTATTTGTTGATGAACAAGGTATATATATATATTTATTGAATAATGTTTATATTATACGTTTATATAATTATAATTTTTTTTTTATAAAGGAAATTACTTTATCATTGACCGAAAAAAAGAGCTAATTAAACACAAAGTACGATTATAATTATTATCATTTTGCATTATTATTATATTGTGAGATTTGACCAATGCCAAAATTAAAATTTGCAGGGTTTTCAAGTCGCACCTTCTGAACTGGAATCGATTCTGCTCACACATGATGCTGTATCAGATGCAGGAGTAACAGGATATTATTCTGAGGAAGAAGCAACCGAAATTCCTATTGCATATGTCACAATTAAAGATGGATATGAGAAATCTCAATCTTTAGCAGAAGAAATTCGATCTTTCGTAGATGAAAAGGTTGCACCGCATAAAAAATTAAGAGGTGGTATTTTATTTATTGATAAAATTCCCAAAAATGGATCTGGTAAAATTCTAAGAAGATCATTAAAGGAGAAATTAAAGAATGATAGGATTTGTTAGAGTTTTTTAAACAATTGCTAGCCAATATTTTTTTTTTTATATATTAAATACAAATTATTTATAAAATAATAAATTCATTTTTATATCCAATTATTTTTTTTCTTTCAGCATTATCTGTTTCAATCAATCGTCTAATAAAAATAGTTATTAAAATTTCTTGAAAAAAATTCAAGATCATACATCATATTCAATTCTCCTATCATTTTTATTTTTGCAGCACAACATTGAATAAAGGTCTCATGCGAGTACAGTCAAACTTCTTTATAAACATCTATAATATTAATATTTTAACTGTCTGTCCGCGATAAACATTTCTGATTGGTCTATATTCGTGTAACGGATGTTGTGTAGCCGTACAGACAACACATGATGATCATATTGTTGCAGATCTATTGACTGATATGCTTTTACCACTAAAACATGATAAAAATTAAGTTTGGTATTTTCCAATTAAATTAACGTAATTAATATGAATAATATGACGATATAGTGTGATAGTAAATGCTAAGCTATCCATTGTGACTGTGAAAGATGAATCAATCTGTTCTCTTCTAATAATAGACGCCAATAAGTGTAATGTACAGTAATATATGGGAAATGTAGATATTTGAATCTATTCTATAACAAGATCCCCGAGGATTGATTGAACCTTGCATGTTCGTACGTACGTATGTACGATCATGTCATGTAAATTATACGTATGTACGATTATGTCATGTTAATTTTACGTATGTATGATCATGTCATAACAGGTAAGAACGTCCCAAATATGGAAAATAGTTACACAAATGTTGAATGATTGTCACATGCCAAACAGCCAAT